CATCATGTCGATTTATCGGGGTTATGTTTTAATGGAACATAATTTGTTAACTCGACATTAGACGTCAATAGTATTATAAATAACAATAGTATTATATATAACAACCCCCACCCGCCACCTTCGACAAACGGGTAGGGGTGGGAGGGGGTAGGAGATCGGCAACGCTCTTTCTTCTAGGGTTTGGGTGGCCTCCAACTTTGAATATATGAGTTGTTACTCCCTCTCTCCCATTTAGTAAAGTTGCCTCTCCCCGATTTAGGAAAATTAAAACTTAGTAAGATCATCCATATACATCATTGCTCATATATTCAAACTTAACACGAGTTTTAGCAAAAAACTTTCTATGAACAAAAAACTTTCTATGAACATCATTGCTCATATATCAATGCATACATCCACGGATCATCATTGTTCATATATCCATGGATCATATATAAAAACTTTCTATGAACAAAAAAAGCATACATCAATGGACAAAAAAAATTCCGTGAACAAAAGAAATCATACATCAATGCATACATCCATGGATCATCCATTCATTTGCATATACATGCATACAACATCCATACATACATCAATGGACAAAAAATGTATGAACAAAAAAAAGCAGAGCAGGCAAGGGCAGCAGCTGTGGCGCAACAATCAGAGCAGGGGCACGGTGCAGCAAGCAGAGCAGGGGCGGTGGCGCGGGGGAAGGGGGGCTCACTGGGGGCAGCGTCAGGGAAGGGGCAGGGGCACGACGGTGTCGGGGCAGGGCGTGCTTCGGGGCAGAGGGCGTCGAGGGCGTTGGCGAGGGCGTCGACGGCGAGGTGGAGGAGCCTGACGACATCGACTGGGCCGAGGGCGGCGACGGCGATCTCGGGCGGCTTGGCGGCACCGATGTGCTCGACGTCGTTGGGGGCAACTGCAGATGAACTCCAAAAAATTCCTAAGCCCCTGCTTATATACCCAAACCCTTTCGTCCTAGTTGGTGGCTCCAACCGGGACCAATGCCACCCTTTCGTCCGGGTCCAAGCCACCAACCGGGACTAAAGGTGTATTTTCAGCAACCCAAAGGGCGGGAAGCAGAGACCCTTAGTCCCGGTTGGTAGCTCAAACCGGGACTAAAGGGGGGCATTAGCAAGGTTGGTGGCTCGAACCGAGACCAAAGGCACCCTTCGTCCCGGTTCGAGCCACCAAATGGGACCAATAGCCTGGCACAATGGTGTGGTGGGAGTTTAGTCCCACCTTGCTAGTTGAGAGAGTGCGGCACCGGTTTATAAGGCGCGCTGCAACTGAGCTTTCGAACTCCTCTCTAATGCAGGCAGTACATTCCTACCCTTGCACTGCCAGGTTGGGCCTATTGGGCCCGCGGGCCTGTATCCTAGCTCATGTACAGATGGGTTTCTAGTCGTATGCAGGCCGTGGTCGCTCAGTAGCGGCATTTTTGTATGTCATTTTAGTTTCCTATTAAAGTTTCTAACATAAAATGCTATGAAAATACTTTTTGCTATTAAAGTTTTTAACAAAAAATACTTTGATAATTTTAGTTGCATATATTTTATATAATTTTAAGTTAATATTATTCTGATAATATTTTTTGATTTTTATGTCATTTTAGTTTGCTATTAAAGTTTTTAACATAAAATACTTTATGAAAATTCTTCTTGCTATTAAATTTTTTAACAAAAAATACTTTGATAATTTTAGTTGCCTAAATTTTATATAATTTTAAGTTAATATTATTTTGATAGAAGTTTATAAAAGCTTTTTAGTTGATTCTTTTTGCTATTGAAGAATATTATAGTTTTGTTTTAGTTGATTATAACAAAATATTTTAATTGATTCTTTTTAGTTCATTATTTTTGCTATTAGAGTTTTATAAAAGTTTTTTAGTTCATTCTTTTTGCTATTAGAGTTTTATAAAGTTTTTTAGTTCATTCTTTTGAAAAGCAGTACAAATGGACTCTGAAAAGGTTGAATTTGGCATGGTATCATCATTTCACCCACATAACGTGTGCTAAGAAGTTGAGAGGGTTACGGCAAAAGCAGGATGCACTTCGTGTATAAAATGGACAATCTCTTTCGAAGTATCAGGGTTGTGGACGAAGAATTATCTGTTACAAAGGGATTTCATTTGTTTGAACTTATTTGAACTCCAGAATGTTTTGTGTGTTCAAAATGCACCATTCAAAGCCACATCATCAATTTTCAACCCTTTCTGACTTCATTTGGTATTTTTCATGCATTTACTGATTTTTTAGCTAAATGACCCTGAAATTGAAAAGCACTACAAATGAACTCTGAAAATGTTGAAAGTTGGCATGGTATCATCATTTCACCCACATAGCATGTGCTAAAAAGTTGTGAGGGTTACGGCAAAATCTGAATGCACTTCGTGTACAAAATGGACAATCTCTTTCGAAGTATCGGGTTTCAGACGAAAACTCATCTGTTACAAAAGGCATTTCATTTCTTGACATGTAGGTGCGGTGATATTCTAGATCAAAGCCATCATCAGAATAGTTGTGGAGAGAAAGTCTTCAATTTTCTTCGCGTGTGTCCCTTGCTTATTGTGCCGTAACCATGGATAATCTTCATCGTTTAACAGGGTGCTTGGGTCGGCCATGACTTTGAAGGAAGGAATTTCATAAAACTTTTCATAATGTTCAGACATGTCTGTCTTGCCCTCCACTCCCATGATGCCTCTTTTCCCTGAAAGAAGTATGTCGCTCTTTGGCTCATCGTATGATGTATTCGCTTCCTTATCTGTTCTTTTTCCCGGTCCGGTAGACATATCAAGTGACCTGTAGCAACATTGTTTCATTAAGCTATGTTAATTTATGAACCATATCATCTTGTGAGCTATTTCGTATTGTGAACTATAGCAGTAGCGGTGGGCCACCGACATGTGCTACTGCTGTGGGACTACAAGTAGCGCAGTTTTTTCAGAACGCTACTACTACGGGTAGCCCCGGTGGGTGAGGATGGGACCACTTAGTAGCAGTGCTGGCCTGCCGGTCCGCGGTACTGCTTCTATCCTACCAGTAGCGATGGTACATGCCACGTGATACTGCTAAGTAGCAGTAGTGCTGCACCCCAACCCCACGCTACTGCTATAGTTCTATCTATAAGCTTTCTCCTAGTAGTGTAACTCTGGCCTTGTCATTTTTGGAAATCTGACAAGCCTCTTGTGATGCAGTCCATATATGATAATTACTTGCCTTAAACCTTCCTTGCCATCAAACTTCATACCAAGAGTAAACTTTGATTCATCCCCTTTGTCCTTGAACCTTATATATCTAGACTTGAATGTCTTCACTTCACCATCACTACCAATCTCATTGAAAGATTCACACAAATCAGAGCTATCTTCATATGCGGTACCACTCTCATTATTTTCCTGTCCCCACATTATTTGAGGACCCAATTGTAGGCCCACCATCCAACACAACATCATCAAGATGATCTAGTTGTCTAGCCTTCATCTTTGCCTTAAACTCCTTATAATTTTTGTTGATCTCAACAGGCTCTTCATCTTCATCAATAAATATGTCATCATCAGGACATTAGTCACTCTCTCTACTATCCTTGTCTTCATCTTCCTCTGAATTTTCATTTGCAGCCTCTGAATTTTTCTCTTCGGTCTCTTTTGAGTTACCAGTAGTGATTGCAACACAATCATTGTTTGTAAGTGAACAATTAGCCAGTGCGACAACTGATCTGCAGCTCCCTCCGATTCACTACTAGCATTCAGACCCATCAGACGCTCCACATATATTTTAGCTACACTTCCAACATCAACACAATTAATCTTTAATCTACTTGCAGTCAGTATATAAAGCAACCATTTTATACCATAAAACATCTCCTTTCTGGAAATAGCCAATGGAACATCTTCCCTTCCTTTGTTTGGCAGGTGCATACCGAAAGTTTGAACAAGATCGAAAAAACTGAACTTGTCACGATAGACGGATGACATGGCCATCTTTCCCCCAATATATTGCACTGCTTTCCCATCATTCAAAAACTACCCTTAAAAATGAAATCTACTAAACAACACCACTCTAGGATCCATGTGACTACCCTATAATCATACAAGAGAAAAACAAGCCAAATGTGAGGCATCCCCTTACTCACAAATGGAGGACAACAACAACTGCAAGCAAAAAAATACCTCTAGCATCGAGCTCGTTGTCATCGTTCAATGTCTTCGCCGTCGTGCTCGGCCAGCCACCTCCGCACAACCGCCACCATGCTTACCCAGCAACCACGGGCCTCAGTCCCACCCAGGCCACACTGTTGTGGCCCGCCTTGCTGCCGGCCAATGCCACCCATGGCGAATTGCCGCTCGAGGGTTCATGAGAGAAAGGGG